GACAGATCTTCGCAAGGTCCACCAATACCAGAAAGGTACTTTTTAATGTTATTTATTAAGTTTTATTTCAGTTTCCCATTAAAAATGAAGAAATGATTGTAACAGTGTTTTCTCTGTTAGACAGTCACCCTCTGTAAGGCGACCACYGCAAAAATTCCYGATTCTCTGTCCACACTGTATCCACTGTGCACCCTCTGTTAAGCGACCACTTTGCRAATTTCCAAAATTGACTAATTAGTTTTATACTGAGGAATCTCACTGTCGTTGACTCATAGATGTAGCATAAACAATTCATTATTTATGATGCTTATATATCACAGGCATCCAGTACATGGTCCAGGATATGAGAACTACACCAACAACCCAACGGGATATGAAAATTATTTCTCGAAAGGTTCACAATTGTCATCAAGTCCTAAACCAGGGGTATCGCATGGGCATAGCTATCAAAATCTCCCACCTAAAGGTACATAATTAGGTTACGTTATTGACAGGGTAGTAACATATATGTGGGATCATTGATCAGCTTTATGTGTAGGCTCGGGGATCATACTATTGGGCTTAGAATGGTAGCTTTGGAATGAGGATCAAAACAACAACGAAGTGATTCTATCAGAATCTTTTATTTGTCTGGCAAGGTTGAAGTATCAGGGCATGGACGAGGGCTAATGAGAATATACTATACGTTTAAGAAACTAAGCGTTTTTCTATGCCAGGCTTAGGAGTACGTTACCGAATTTTTCACGGTTTTTAGCGACATCTACAGGATTTTTTTGCGTTTTGCAGTTTTTCGTATCTGACAGCTTAACATCCACAACAGTTGCGTTTTCGTATCATTTTTTTTTTATATTTTCCGTAAGATATGGAACTGTATGTTCAGCTGCGCGCCTGTCTAGGATAGTGAAGTATCTAATATTCACATGTCTGTAATGATATATTTGTTCATTAGTTGCACCAAGGCGAACGACAACCCCAACTAATTTCTCTGCGGAACAAGCATTACCTCCTCGTAAACCAGCTGTACCGATACGTCGAGTGAAGACGGATACYGAACGCGACTACTTTGCCAGGCGTTCATGAAGACAACCATCAATCATGCATCGCCGGGATATTATTGAATCGTTAAGTTCTGATATGAAGTATTTCATAGAGCTGACGATGACGTCACATACTACAACTATACCAGAATGCATTGCCCACCCTTTGTTTTATAAGTCTCCAAAGAGAATAACAAAAAAAATGCGCAGAGGTGTAGTAGCAAAAACAAATTATCGAGAAATGTATCAGGGTATTGGGCAATCTCAAGCCCAGCGTCTGCCGACACATTGCCTTCTGCTAGATGGCAAAAGTGAGGACACTGGGAACGAGATTGGGGATTGGGATGCATGATGATGGACATAAATACATATACGATGCAGGGTTTTTTAAACAACTTCAAAACATCACTAAGTGAAAAGCTTATTAATCCAAACACTTGAGTATATATGAAGTATAGTACGTAAATTGAATAAATTGAAGAAAAAGGCACGCAACTTGCAACTATTATTCCTACTCTTTATTAGAACGTTTCGGCACTTCGGCCTTCTTCAGCAAACTGAGTGTAGTATAGTACGTATATATGAGACGAAATCGGCTTTATCTTTGTTGGAGTATCAATGAAAACGCTCAAAATGCTGTTAGAATTTCACTAAATTCGGTTTATATTCTGAAATCTATAGTTTACGATTATAAATTTTGGACTACCTGTGATTTTTATTAGTTCTTTCASGTCTTGACGGTCCAGGTTCTATGTTGAACATAGCTGAGCKGTTWAGACTTCTATTTCTCTCCCAAACTGTAAAAAATATGATAATCTATAAGAGTAGCGAATGCGTGCTCGCAAAGAGTTCTGGGAAAAAAGCGTGTCTTTGATCGTTTGATATAATCACAATGAGAATCTCCTTACCATGGACATCTTATTACAAAACCGTCATAGAGAAATAGAGCATTTGTATTTAGTAAAAAGAAATACGTTAACTCACAAGAACTGATTGATAAAGTCTGGAATCGCCACGATCGTCAGGATCGCCGTGCTGAGCGATTCCAGCTATCGAGATCGCTAAGATCACCAAGATCGCCGTGTTTCCATATGATCGCTGCCGGCTAAAATCGTTGAGCCACATTTCGGCGATCGTGGCGATCCAAGCGATTGTAACGATTGTATGGAACCAGCCTTAAACGTCCTATTTCGCTATGATTAGGTTGTATGAAACCATTTTGACAAATTGTGTCAAAAACAGTGGTGAACAATTTGCGGCATAGTCAATCGAATCTGACGCGAGATTTTACTCCATTAGTTTAGTTTTGTGCCCAGAGACACAAATGCCCATGTAATGATATTTTGTACTTTTTAAAACGATATATAGTAGTTGTGGCGTGATGACAAAAACCAAACAATTCATCAGCCTATTGACGAGGTATATAGGATCTTGGATCAGTCTCAATTTGGGGATCAGGGATCACATTTTAGTCATTTTGTTAGGGCTTAAAGATCAGAGTTTTCAATTTGGAATCGGGATCAATGTTTAAGAATCGTTATCCAAAAGTTATTCATGATTAGCAAGGATTGCAAGTCTAAATTGTCGTTATTTTGGGATCAAGGATCATAGCACAAACTATATACCTCAGTCGTTAGAAGGCTGAATTCATCAGCCAATTAAAGCTCGTGTTATATTTTTGATATCCCATTGTGAAAATTAGATATACAGATTATATTTTCATAAGAAATATAGATTATATTTTCTTAGATATGTGAACAATTTTATAGATTAGATCTATTTTTAAATACATTTGATAGCGCTATCTGTAATATGCATCCGTTCTTTGTTAGACTATTATCAGATAATAGAAATGCTTGAAAATTGTTTCTATCCACCCCCCGCCCCAACCCCGGCCTTCCTGCCTTACAGGAGGGCTAATAGACAACCCACAAAATATTTTAACACTGAATCAGKGGGAGGGGTACTCAATTTAAACTGCATCAACACGAACCTACGTAAACAGCAATATATGCCTGATATTCGTCAACCATTTYCTCGAAGATTGTAGCTTCTGTGTGCGGCGACSTAATTTWCTCGAGCAAYGCATGACGGGAAGCGTAGTCCTCGCGCATTTTTGTTCTTTAAAAAAGATTGTCCGCCAAGTCCGTTTCGTGTTCTCTTCTCGACAATTGGGATTGTTCGTGATTATCGCGAACATTAAAAAGTGCGCGGACCACATTCACATTATGCTTTTTTTGCACAAATGGGCATCGTTTCTCGTTGACAATTAAAATGGCTGAGGTCACACTGTGCACAGGCCGTGGGGAAGATGCTATCGATCACTAAAAGCTTTTCGCTTCCGATTTCCCTTACAAAGTTTTGCTTTTCACTTTGTTTGCATATTCAGCTGAGTCGGAAGAAAAAGGAACCGTTTTTCATTTTGCTTTTTGGATCATATTTCTAGCTCTCCTTTAACTGGCCTATTGACTATCTACTACGTTACGCGGGCGGCCTGCATTCGCAGGGGGTAAAAATATGCAAAAGATCATCACTACAAAAGCGCTGGATTGTTTAGATATGGTATTAAAGAGATGGACTTGATTGAATGAAACTGTATATACCTATCTGGAAAAAAAAAACCATCTAGTCGGATACCAAGGCTACATCATCAAAGCTGACTAAAAGGGAGTATGGCAAATCAATATATTTTCTATGCCAAGATTATCTGCACTGAATAAAATACACTGTACTACGGGTATTAATCTATGATGTAACATGTTTAGGCAAATATTATCCAAATTTCTTAGTACTTCAAATCCCCAATTAGTTTCGATGATATCCCCTTTTTTGCGACCCGACAACGTTTTTTCCGTAAAGTGTATATACTACATTGACCATCTTGAATAGCAAGGCAAAGGCGTCGAGGGAACAAAGCAAACAAAACGGTGCCATAAAGAGAGTCTTGTGCAGTCTTGTCCATCTTGATCCATACGTCTGTTCAAAAGTTGGTTTCCGGGTTGGTTTGCGGTGAATTGGATATTGATTTACCCTAATTTTGCCTCCTGCCAAAATGACCGCCGCGCACTTACCGAAATAAAAAGGTATATTTTAACGTTAATATGACTTAATCCTTATTTCTATAAAGCAGTTTTCTGTAATACAATTTGAAATTAAACGTTTTAATTAAATCACTGTGAAATGACGGGAATTATATATTGCTTCGATATTTATTTATCGATATATTCATTAATTGTTTATTCTTATGGAGGGAATAACTTTCATCAATCTAGAATAGATCGAATATAGAGGCACCACGAATGTTTTACTTTTATTGTGAAGAGAATGAGTCTTCGAAGTTGAGAAATATAACTATTTAATTGATGATTACATTATTGCGCAGTTAAACCGTGAAACAAAAATTACTAATCAAAATACTAAATAGTTGATTGATCCGAACTAGGAAACACATGAAATTTAGCTCCTCATTCCAGTTTACTGATTTAAGTACTTTCACGGATTAGAGCCATAAAGCTCGTGAAATACATATTTTACTATTGACGCTTTGTTATTTTGTCTATTTGACCATCTCATTTTAATAGTCAAATTTTGTTTCACGGTCCTAATGATTTAGAGCTAGTGCACTTACTGTAACCGTGAAACAAAAATAGCATACGAAAAAAAAATAGGAAAACAGGTGTTAAATTATCGCTAAATAGGTGTTAAATTATCACTTATTCCATTTGTTTTCTATTGTCTATTTGACCCTATTTAGTAGCATTAGTAAAATTTATTTCACGGATTGCGGGCGTCCACTATATCTAAAACTGTTTATTATTATTTTTATTTATTTATTCACCTATGTATCTATTTTTTGGTATCTATTTTTTGTTTATTGTTTATTGTTTTTATCCATCTATGAATATATATGTACTCCTATCTCCCAGTGGTCTGTCTGTCATGCTATAACGCAGTAGTAACGCAAGAAAACTACGCGAACAGTCTACAAGCATCCATCACTTCTGACAGACATACGCGTAGGCATTGACTGAAAAAAGGAAGCAAATCGAGCAAATGGATTAACTTCAATCGTTCGTTCTTGAAGACGGCCTTTCGTGCAAATTGTAAGAAAAGCTTAAAGCTCATCTAAGCGAAGTTTAACGTCGGTAAGCAATGAAACATTTAAAGCGAATTTTATTATGGTAAATTTATTGTAGCTTAATTGCACTGACGATTAATACCCGGAGGTATCATTTATAGGACTTTCAGTTTCTTATACTTTCTTATACTTTCGGCGACAAAGCAATTTAGTGCGTTATCAGAGAGTACGTCTGATGATAAAAACTTCGAGTCAACATTGTCAAAGACGAGTTAAAGTCGTCTTTGTATTTGAAATGTTAATTAAGACCCAAGTGACTTCAGTATGCTACAGAAGCTACTTGTACTTAAAAAAAAACATTAAAACGTTTATGGTCGTACCAAAGTGTTAACTAAGTTTAAAGATTTTGTACAATCGCGTGACTTTAAACCACATTTATTCCAAACTTGTGATCGTAATTCATGATCAGACGGTCTTTGAAGGTTAGTATTTACTTGTTTATAACAGCTTTCGCGTTCAAAGCTTTGGATAATGCGACCACAGAAACGTAAAAAAGAACTACCACAAAAATAAGTAGCTGCAATTCCCCTAAAATACATTTAGTGTTATCAGTTGTCGAGTAATTAGACCGTTTAGTATAGAAAGTTTAGGTTTTACATTCACTTCGATTTGAATACATTTTTGTCGTGTCAGTAATTTTTCGTAACGGATTATTGACCTCGGTGCATCTTTGGGCTAAGTGATTAATTTATGCCCGTTATATCTTCAACGTTTCAATCCTCAAATGTACCAGCTGTTACATAAAAATTACCAGCGTGAAGTCACATAACCCGTGAATGTCTATTCTACTAGAGATATCTTGGCGGTCTTTAATTACATCGAATTTTTATCGTGACTATAAACAATCGTCACTAGGGCGAGTAGACTACGAGTTGATAGTCCATGAGGCTATATATAGCCACGAATGGACTATCAACTCGTAGTCCAGAAGTATGCTTCACTCAGTGCGCGAATAGACTATAGCTCAGTAGACAGTTAGAGTATCCTGGATTTGTTATTGTTCAAAGTTTTGTGCATATGCTAAAAACTATTACAACTTGACAAAATAAAAAGACATTTTTAGTCATTGTAGAGTTAAAAAAACGTGAAATAGCCTATCAGACTAATACACCTTAGTACTGACTCTAATTGCATTGTCTTCTTTAGTGTCTATTTGACTAGCGCACTTTTAATGTCAAATTTAGTTTCACGGGTTTAATAACTCCCTTAGAGCTTTATCAGTAAGAGCCGCTAATAATTTGTGCTATTTGTTCTTCAAGGAAGGTATCCACTTCCGGGTCAAATTAAATAGAATTGCAGTAATATTTATAGTCGGTTGCAATAAACTTTTGCATCAGAGCCGTGAAGTCATTATAGTGCGAGCACTATAAAAAAAGAATAGCAGACTTTAGATATTTTGGTTTTGTGACCACGCACACTTGAATAGTCTAATTTTGTTTCACGGGTTTAATGACTTCCCTCTAGACAACAGAGAACAGAGAGAATCGCATAATACTCCAGTTTCGCATTGTCTGTTGTGCAAGCTTAGCTTCAATCAAGCATAAAGTTTTATTGTCTGTTTTGTTCACAGTTTGTTTGCATTAGAGTGAACGCACTTAGAGTACAAACACTAAAACTGTGTAACATAAATACCACTAAATACTGCTAAATTATGCTAATTCTATTGTTTTCTATTCTTTAATTAACTTTATTTTGTAGTAAATAGTGGAAAGTGTTGCACACATTTTATGTTTGTACTCTAATCCGTGCAACTGTACAAACTAAATAGTGCTTTTTAGTTGTATTTAGTAAATCGTGCTTGTGATACGCAAATTAAATTGAGTTGATACAAATGAAGCATTCAATACCGTCCTGCTTCAGGTCCACTTTTAGTACAAATTAATACTACTTAGATTTTGTACAGTTGCACGGATTAAGTGCGTTCACTCTACAATAGATTCTCTGTTGAATAAAAGAATATATTGCATGCTTTCGAGGTTAAAACTGCACAAATAAGATCTCGAAACTGGAGTATTCAGCACAATTTAGCACAAAACTTTGTCATGGTAGGTTTAAACACTTTTCCATGCTTTTCGTGCTTGCACTTTAAGCTAATGGGACAACATTTGATCAAAAGAATTATGTAAAGCGATTTTCCATCACTAAAAAAATAAAGAGACCATCTTATTTATCATGTTATACGAATTGACAAAGAACAATGCTAGCAATACATTGTGAGGAGAGATGGAGGGCGGAGATTCAGAGTACAACATGAAAAGTTGTTGGACAATGTAGTCAAGATATGGAGAATTGACTGGTAGTATTCAGCCAATCTGAAATGAGTTGAGAATAAATTCAACGTATCTAATGCGCCTTTTCCCTCTTACACGTCAACAGAACTTATATTCTAAAGTGAAAATGTCGATGATAGCTAAATTCAAACGAAGAAGCAGTGCTCCCAATTTAGATGTGGTGAACGCCGACAAGCAGAAGCCAGCTTTGGTAAGAACTTGTTTTTTGTTCTGACCGTTGTTCTTTCCTTTTTTATTTCTATTCGTTGTTGTTAACTTTAGGTGCTACGACACTATTAMACTTTCTTAGCCACTTATCTCGCTTTGCGTCACAAGCCAGTWAGTTGCAGAATTRCACAGTGTAACACGGGTCGTCTTGCAACTTCTTGTATTGTAGGTAYCGTTGCGCAAAAAAGGACTCAGGTCTACTTTTGATAACGCATTGCAACAACTCAAAACGCCATATTTGGTACGACTTCATTGGAAAAGCCAAGAGGCAATAGACAGAGCACTCTCCTACTTCTGCTACATTAAACAGAACGGATGAGGCTTACAATTTAAAGAGATTTTGCGCGGAGTAGGCCTTGAATGGAATGACATTTTGTTATCGCTATCATAAAGGGTACCATCAGCGAAAACCCATGAGCTTTCACTGGAAAAAATCGCGCGTTTTAAAGGTTGCAAATTTGATGTAAATATGATTAAGTGTCCAAAATTCTTTAAATTTAATGGAAACCATTTACATCAAATTTACAGAATTTTGGACACTTACATCATATTTACTTCAAATTTACAACCTTTAAAACGCGCGATATTTTCCAGTGTTTGATTGAGGCAGTTGTTATCCTCACCATCCATTAAAACTGAGCGACCGGTTTTATTATGGCAGTTTAAAATTATGTTTCTCTTTCTCATGCAGACAAGAAGGCAGTCGGAAAAAAGCATGAGAGTTCCAACAATTCCAGAGGCAATTCCGGAAACCCCGAAGACAATGCCGAAGTACGTACTTTCACACCTTTATATTGTTAAAAGGCAATTCACTATCATCACTTAAAGAGCTGTCGTTACATAACTGCATTTAGCTATACAATATTTTTCTTCTCCTTTTTTGCCTTCATTTCTTTTCCCTTTCGTTCTTCTTCACTCAATTATCTTCCTTCCTCCCTTTCTTGTTTGTTGATTCCATTTTCCCTTCCTTCCATTTTACTTTGTAGTCTTGTTTTTTTCGAGTGTCCGTTCCGCTTTCTTCCACTTTGGGCTTCTTTGAGTTTGATTTGATTTGTCGTTTTTATCCCTTTTTTTCGTCTTTCATCATTCCATTCTCTCTTCCTCATATCCTCTTCCATAGCTCTCAGGTAATTTCACCTTGCCATAGATAGAATCAAATTTGTTGACATATGATAATCCTGCGATGATGTACAGGTACTACATCCAAGGTCTTGACAGAGAATCTTCTGAGAACTTACTACATGAACAGCCTGTTGGTACATTTCTTTTAAGAGACAGACAGTCATCCAATATTCCAGGATCGTACACTCTATCGATGAGGTATGGACGATTGATTACTGCTTGCTTGCTTTCTTGATTGATGGATGGTTAGATGATTTGATTGATTAATTGTTTGATTGATTATTTGACTATGATCGATTTATAGGTGGATCGATCGATCAATTGACATGCTGACCTGACTGACTGATAGATGGATAATTTGATTGGCTAAGTGATTGAATGATTGATTGATCGATCGATCGATCAAACTGACTGATTGATTGATTGATTATTGATTGATTGATTGATTGATTGATTGATTGATTGATTGATTGATTGATTGATTGATTGATTGATTGATTGAACTGACCGATTGATGGATAGACGCATGATTTGATTGACCAATTGATTGTTTATTGACTGACTGAACTGATTATCTGATTGATTAATGGATTAATTGACAAACTCTATTTTTAAAGGGACAAAAGCAATCAGTGTAGACACTTTAAGATTGACACCAACCCAAGAAACGGAAAATTAGCTATCCATGGATACCAGGTAACATTGATTGTACATTGAGGTTTCGATGGTCTCAGACCTGTCATTATACTCCAAMCCTGATACAACACTCTCTATTACTTTAAGGACCATCAGTTTGAAAGCTTGGAAAAATTGATAGACTTTTTTGTGAAAAAGCAAAAGAATGCGGAAGTGTCTATAAAGCCTTACGGTTGCGAAGTGGGGCCTGCTCCTAATGGTAAGGACATCTTTGATATTGCTCCTTATCTAGACCAGTATCGTTACCGGTGATTGCAGGATCCAGACATAATATATTTTTGTTGAATGCTCGTGATCCCATTTTTTGATCCCTGAAAAGGGTCACTGATCCCAAATTGTTTTTAAAATTTYATCCACGATCCCAAAATAACGCCGATCCCTGATCGTATACACTACTGTCACGACCACGTAATGCTGTTAACAGTCGATAATGAAGGCTTTTATTATACCTATATATGCTTGTTTTTACTAATAGTTCTATATGAAGATATGAACGATGGCATAGACTCTTATCAAACTATCAATCCAGGTCAGTTCGCAGAGATTCGAGTTAGAAACATGAAAAATCAACCTAACTATGAACCGTTRAAATCAACAGACGTGACGGCGCTTCAATGTACTCCCAGGAAAGAACTCTACGAAAATTTTGACAGCAAAAAATCGCCACCAGCTCCTACGAGACCGAATTACGAAAATATCGACAGCAAGACCTCTCCACCAGTTCCTACGAGACCAAACTACGAAAATATCGACAGCAAGACCTCTCCACCAGTTCCTACGAGACCGAACCACGAAAATGGCGTCAGCAAACCATCGCTTCCTCCTACGACACCAAATACGAAACCAAGCTACGAAAATATCGGCAAAAAAGGAGGAATGAGACGTCCACCACCACCTCAACTACCGGAAACAGACCAAAACTATGAAGATATGATTCCAGAACCTCGAACAAGTACTCTTCCTTTTAAACTCAAACCTGCAGAGCAGCCAGGGCCTTACCAAAACCTCCCACCAAGAGGCGAGACTTTGCCTTTGCCTCCAAGGCGTCCACCACCAATTACTGGGACGTCTCGTACGAAACGAAAAGGAAGTCTCCCAGCCAATTTTGAGAGCTATATATCGAGGGAGGCCTCTCATCCTCCGCCCCCTTTACCTGCGAGGCCACATGCTTCGACCAATTACCAGAATTTACCAGGGCGAGGTAATCCAAATATGCTAAATTAAACTTCTTTGTGGCAATTGCACTCTTTATTACGGAACCCTGTGCACTATCAGTTTCATGTTTAATATGCGTAATTCTCTTCTATCCTATTAAAAGCATTCTATGATATCCTTTGTCATGTGCAGTACCATTTCCTATGTTATCCTAGTAGCCCTTTTATATTTTAATGCAYGAAGTTTCTAATGCTTACATTCCTATAATATATTGTCGTGTTCATCACATAATTTTTTTCCTAACCTTTTTATGCTATCCTATTCTATAATATCATATACTAACCCAAACCATAATCACCATCCCTTTCCTATGAAATCCTGGTGATCCTTTCACATACTTATACGTCCTTTCCGCGACTAATACTTTCCTTTCTGTGCTATGTTATGCCATGTTCAGCATCCTTTCCTATCCTATTCTATTCTGACATACCTGCTACCAAATACTCTAAATTCACTGACTTTATTAATTTATTATCTTGTTATTTTTATTTATCTATCTGTTCATCCCATTTCAAGCTCTTATTCGTCCTGAGCAAAAGAAGTTTTTACTTCATCACCATGAGAGGACGCAAAACAGAATCATGTTTTTTATATCAAACATTTTATAAAAATAAAGCAAAAGCGATCTGTTTCTAATTTCAGGCTCTACGACTGTCGACTGTCCTGAAGTACCGCAAAGAAGACACCCACTACATCGATCCTATACCGAACCAGACACTAGGTTCTAAGTATCAGTGCCCCATGACGCTTAATCCGGAGCGTTCCTGGATTCCAGGTCCACAATTTTGTCAGATTCCACGCTATACTATCAAAACTATTCGAATTGCTGAAAACCGCGAAATATTATTCCAAGAAAAAACGCGGACATATGGATAGCAGAATTTGATTTTGAATGAACGTTTTACTAAATATCATGCAATGTAATATAGCTCATTAGTATCCAATGGTATCATGGACGTTGTCCTTCAGTTGCATCGTATCAAAGAATGTAGTATTAATGAATAGAAGAAATATGAGATCATACACTATTAGAAGTCCTTCGTTTACCGAYAAGGGAATCATCTTTTTATACATGTCACCAGTGAGGACTCTCTGTGGTCACCACAGGTAATCCAATCTCCTCTCGCGCTGAAAAATGCTCTTCGTATTCTATTTACATGTAATGCCATAGAAGAAACTGATTTTCAAAAAAATGAGTGTGCCTCCTCCTCCCCCTCCCCCCTTCCCTTTTCCGCTGCCCTTATTCACTTATTCACCTTACTCACATATGTATATATGGGGGGTTCTAGCCTTAGCAAATTGCGCTCATACAGTTGCCATCGTTCATTTGAAACTGGGATGAGTGTGCGCATGCGCGAGGATATACGGATGTGGAGGGCGATCGCTTGAGAGATACTATTTTGATAAATATTATCAGAGTCTATTCTACTGGAATCGATCAGTAAAAACACTTTAGATTGAATTTATTATGAACCATGGGTACGGTATAGTGTTTATGTCTCATCAATAGGGTGCCTTTTCAATTTCTAGCAAGTTCCTTAAGGTCCTTAAGCGAATAACAAAAGTTCAGAAAAGTCAGAAACAGCAGTAAGAACAATCAAACAGAGAGACAACAGGAAGATTTCAGAAGTTGTTGTATATATCACTGWATACAATAAAGCCTCACATAAAATCGATCAAGAAACGTCGCAATCTGAAAGCTCCTCTTTACCTCTATCCTCGTTAGCTCACTGTCGCCATAGCAACACTTTGARGCTCTTCAATTATAAGCATTATTTTGAGCTCTTAAAAGTGTTTCGTGCTGATCWTTTCTCAACGAAACATTGCGAAATATTCAAGTTGCTGGAGACTGTTCAAGCTATCAAAATCCAATGACGTCACCGGTTGACCAGGGTTGTTTGGATAGTATCAAGACAGCTGAACACTGGCTCGTAGTTAATCGATAATTTATTCCAAATAACTATTTTACTTGGGTCATTACTTTACGAGGCCTCTACTGGCGGAAGGTACAACAGTCGCTTTGTCACTGTTACAAACTTCGCAGCTCGTCGACAGCGTTGGCACAATAGTCACCAATTCACCGCTTTATAATAATCCATCACGATGACTGATCTATTTAGCTGCTCGAGAAAAGAACCCATCGAAGATTTTTACACCATAGGAAGAGAACTAGGACGGTAAGTCGAACAATCTCACAAGGCAACGAAATGGCGTCCTAAGAGATGGACACACTTAAGGTGTTCCTAGTGGCTTTAGCCGGCTGATTATCTAGCAATAGCGGTTGATTCAAATGGACCATGTCTTGAATAATAACTCAGACAGCTCCGGTCAGCGCGTGATCATTTAACGCTAGCAACCGCGAGTAGATCTTTCAATCCTGACATCTCGATTGTTTGGTTGTTTTACCAGTGGGGCTTCTTCGGTGGTGAAGTTTTGCGAGCAAAAGGGCACAAAGAACAGCTATGCAGTCAAAGTCATGAAAAAGAACGTAAGTGCAGATTACTGTTTGATTTAGGGCTAATAATTCTATATTTACTCGTTGAGAATTGACTGTAAACGGACCAATTCTCTGTSACCGTAACAGTTTAGTATTGAGTGCGGCGGGGTATTATACGAGACCTTATCGCAGCACGGGCGTATTGGACATAAGCTCCTCACATCGATATTCCTACAGCGCTTTGATTTCAGCTGTATTTCGATAGGTTTTTAGTATTAAGTCATGGCGTTACTTCAGCGTATCTTTTGAGCACTGAGAAAAGTAAACATGCCAAAAATCTCATTACCGCTGCATAGATTCCACTTCACTTTTAGTAAGTTAACTTTTTTCAAGAATGATTTTTTTTTATATATTTTAATTTAAAAGCTTATGGTCTYTAGTTTTCGTTTAATTCGATAATAACATCGAAGGAGTTTCCCTAAGCGGYAGGGTTTTATAAATATTCAATAGAAGAAGCGGTGGTCAAGTGACAATATGATACCATTAACTCCGACACTTTGCATTATAAAACACTGACAAAGGTGTTATGTGAATGATAATTATTTACATCAACATTAATTGAAATTGGAAAATACAAAAAGAATTAGAAAAAAAAGAACGGAATTAGAAAAAAATATATAGTATTTTTTATTTCATTTGTCAAGGATTTAAAATCAGATTTTCTCTTATGGCAGTGCTATCTGTTTTATCTTGCAAATGTTTTTTGAAAGATCTTAAAAGATTTTTTAGTCGAATTTTCTGAATCAGAGATGAATACAAAATGAAGTAATAGAGAGATATACAAATAAATAAATATTTTTATAAATTGTTAGAGCCAGAGACCTTTTGTTGTAACAATTCATTGATTTCTTTTCCTTTTCTTTTCTTTCTTTCTTTTTTTTTGACAATCTGTTTTTTGTTTGTTTTCTTACTTGTTTTTTTTTGTTTTTTTTTTTTTTTTTGTTTTTACAATTCTCAAGCTCTAATTCATGATTGTATTCATTCTCCTAATAACCTTACAAAGTTGAGCAATCAGTCAAAGGAATAATTATATTAAAATGAATTTCTTAGATTTAATACATTCTAAAAATTGCTATTTATCTGGATGTATGCACAAAATTTTTTAATTTATTATTGATTGGCTGAAACGACTGAATTCATTATAGGACTGGAATGACTACTAATGAAGGGAAGTCTAAATTATGAAAAAAAGAGTATTGTTTACATAAATCTTTTCTCGCAAAAATTTCAAAATATTAATTTACAAAAATAACACAGGAATTAAGCTCAAAAATAGTCAAATATATATGCAACTAATTACAAAAGCATTGTCCTGAGGTTTATAGGAACTTTAGGAATACATTAAAAGACAAAAGATGACCACTGAAGCTGAACACTTTCATTTTTGCATCTTAATTAATTCTTAAAGAGCAAAAATCCTTTTTCTGGGATAATTAATGTTATATTGCAAGTGTATTTGTACCACAGTACCATTTTGGTTTTTGATGTCATTTTTATTTAAGTTTATTTGCTGTTTTTGTTATATAAATTTATCATGAAAATAATTTGAAAATTAATGTTGATCAAATAAAAGCAATCAAATAAAAAAAATATCAAATRTCTACTGAAAAAGTGAATTTTAACACGTGTCATTAACTTTACCCTTCTTTTATATTCTTTTTTATATCAATTTATGAACATTCATGTAAAAGTAGCATGTGGCCTTGTAGTAGGATGATAAATTATTTCATTAAGAAGCTCATAAATCATTACAGAGTGGTGTATAACATTGTTAATAACATTTAGTGTCAAAAAGTACAAGGATGAACATGAAATGTAAAGAGAACTTACAGGAAATTAATAATGAATATAAGGTAATGGAATATGTTTGAGGAATATAAAATAAAAATAAAAAAAAATAAATTAAAGACTGTGGAATTTAAAAAAATAAAAGAAAGAGATTTTTTTCTTGTTTAAAATGAAAAGACATAAGAATTTATGTGAGATCAAGRAACAAAATGTTAAAAGAAATAATAATATCACAAGTTAAATATATCAGTGAACAGAAGTGATGATTAMCAAAAAAATATAATTAAAGACAAGAAATAGTAAGAAAATAGGAAAAAATGAAAAATGTTAAATAAATAGAAAGCAAGAAAAGAATTAAAGAAAAACTTTTCTGAGAGATTAATTCGAGCACTAAAAACATTTCAGATTTCTTATGGTTTCTAGAAGTGACAAAAATGTTTTGATTTTAGTTTTAATTAAATCAATGTAACAGTATAGTAKAAGGATGTTTGATAAATACCATGTACATGATTTTATAAATTTTCATGGATCCCTGTGGATWTGATCCCATTGTTTATGTATTCAGTTAATTAACTCTTTGTTTCCCTATCTWATAATATTATTGTTACAGGTGGACAGAAAGATTATTAACACAGAAATTGGAATTCTTCTAAGACTCAAACATCCTAATATTGTAAGTCCTTTTTTGTTTGTGTCTGACTGTGTTTGTTTTGACATACATCTTGAAACATGACAAATAATAACTGGCACACAACAAAAAGAATTCAAAAATTTACACAGTTTTAACTTTATGTTTCTAAGACTATATGAAGTGCCACTTTAAATGCATTTTTAAAACAAACCATACTACATGTATAAAATTCATTGTATAACACATGCATTGATTGGTTGAAATKTGTAATATATGTGTTTCTATGTTGATTTTATTTAAAAAGTGTCAGAAAGTTGTTTTCTGTGTTTCATTTCTCAGTTATGTCTAAATCGCTTGCTTTCAGCTTGTGATTCAAAACCTTTCTTAATCTTATGTCCTCCCAACAATCCCATGTGTTTCTAACAGAGAATGAAATCACAGAAAATATCTTCTATAATACTTTAAAAATAAAGGATAGATAATTAATATAAAAATTCAATAAAAATAATTGGAACTCTATCTAAGGTATCTTTTCATCACTATAGATTCAACTAAAGGAAATCTTTGAGTCTAAGACACAGTTGTTCATGGTGCTTGAGTTGGTTACTGGTGGTGAACTTTTTGAAAGGTATTGTATAGTAACCAGTTGGAATTGATYGCAAATTTGTTGCAGTTTATATTATGTTCAYGTTGATATAAGTTGTTGGAGAAACAGAGAGAAAACACAACCAAACACAACCGAATCTGGAGCAGAATTGGTTTACTTGCRWAAAGCRTTGTGCATTACTAACTTRATCGCTTACGCAATTTTYCAAATATGGATATAATGTAATCTTGACCTTGTCACAYATTCAATACTTACATGTATAATCAATGATAATTTTGATTTAATTAATGATTGATTATGATGAATTAATCATTATAGAATAAAGATCAAATATTTTTAAGCTTCTATTATATATGTTTGTCTTAAATGCCGTCTAATGATTTACATGCAGCAGTTTTCATTAATAATAATGCATAATTTATGAATATTACCAATGTGTACAGGGTTGTGGAAAGAGGATTTTACAGTGAAAAAGATGCTGCCGAAGCAGTCAGACAAATCGTGGAAGCAGTTGCAGTAAGTTGCACAAGAATTATCTATAGTTAATTAACTTGAAATAAAATAAAAGTCCTTTGGAAGTGCAGATTAAGCAGTTTCATATGGTTATGTCTTGACCATCTTGTGGTCTGCATATAAAGAGCTGTTTTCTAGTGTTTGTGAATGATTGATTGATTGGCTGGCTGGTTGATTCATTGATTCATTGAATGATTGGTTTAATGATTGATTGATTGGTTGATTGATTGGTTGATTCATTGATTGATTGGTTGATTCATTGATTGATTGGTTGATTCATTGATTGATTGGTTGATTCATTGAATGATTGATTGATTCATGGATTCATTGATTGATTGGTTTATTCATTGATTGATTGGTTGATTCATTGATTGATTGGTTGATTCATTGAATGATTACCAGTTTAATTATTGATTGATTGAATCATCTTTTGTATTGATTTTAAATTCTTGTAGATGTAAGCTTATTTGCTTACTCAACCATTTGTTTTAATTTAATATATATCTATTTTTCCTTTCATTCACTCATTTATTAATTTATTTTGCTTTTTACTTCAGTATCTACACAGTAATGATATAATTCATAGGGACTTGAAGGTAACAGACGACAATATTAAAACAATTTCTTTAGCTATAGAACCGTTACATCGTTACATCGTTTGTTAACTTACATCGTCATGAAAATACGATAAATAAATCATTAAATTCTTAAGTAGTTCCCAGTTAAAATGAGAACAAACTCTCCCTTGTATAATAACCATGTGATAAAGCTTGCTATCTYCCTTAACTGTCTTAAAACATTGACAAGAAAAATGCTTAMKSTWASMWWACMWWAMSYTWARKTWYWGATAAATCTTACCTTSCAGCCGGAAAATCTTCTCTAYGCCGACACAACCGACTCTTGTCCGTTGAAAATAGCCGACTTCGGTCTCTCAAAAATGCTCCTTGGCGACTTTGGAACGAGCACTGTTTGTGGAACACCGGGATATTGTGGTAAATACGATATTTCATTTGTGTTTCGAACTCCATTTTTTCGACAAGAACACGGCCTACACGGCGGGCGCGCGACCAAAAGTTTTGGCGCCAAAATAAATRCTAACACAGGAAGCCCAGTACTATATCACGTGATCTTTGCAGATGTGAATTTTATGTAACAACCGATTGAAAATTCAAAGAAAAAATAAAACGCAAAGGAATAAAAGAGGGAAAAAGCAAAGGAGAATAAGAATATATATATTTTTTGTTACATTCAGAGCTTGGAACCAGAAAGGGCCTTGATTTATTCTGTACTTTTGTTCTGTAGCGCCCGAAGTTCTCCTTGGGAAAAAGTATGATACCATGGTAGATATGTGGGCAGTGGGTGTCATAGCATATATTCTGTAAGTAACCATCCAGCATCCATTGACTCTCAATTGTCAAATACATAGCTAAGTAGCAGCAACGCTAAGTTACTAAACACGAATCACAAGGCTGAAAAAGGTTCAACAATAAAAACCTACACGGTGCATGTTAGAAAACCACATTTGATTTGTTCCTTTCCTGTCAAAGTTAATATTTCTGCGCCCTCGCGACCCATGCATAAGGTGTCGAATAGCTCTTCCGAGACCTGTGTTTAGAATGCGTACCTCTTTCTATTTTGGGTAACGAAGGGGCTGTACTACATTCGCAGATTAAATTTCAATGCGCGCATATCAAAATACTGTACTCTGCTTGAAAAACATGGCCACTTTTCGTTTCGTCTTGGGAGTAAAAGTTACCCTTCTCCTGCTGTCCGGACAGGCAGTGAAACAGGACTTTATAGCCAGATCTATGTCGATCTGTGATCAGAACATATTGAATTTGCTGTTTTTCTGAGTCTTTATCAGCCTGCGTAGCGACTMTAGGGGAGGGGGGTCATTGAGAGGATCCCCCTCCCSCTAAGTCTTTATAAGAATACTGAATAAGTGTCCTTTTCTGGTAGACTTTGTGGATTTGAACCGTTCTTCGATGACCGTGGTGATCAAGCAATGTTTCAAAGAATTCTCAAGTGTGATTATGAGTTCATGACTCCATGGTGGGATGAAGTATCTGATAGTGCTAAGGTAGGTGGTGATACTGATTATGATAACGATAATGAAGCTCCATGATGATGGCTTGATTTATCCTCAATGTGCCCGATGAAYTATCCATGAAGCTCACTTTTTCGTACACAGCGAGTGCGTTTTCCATGCTTGCTGCATGATCAATTAGAAGAAGAAAAACATTTCGAAACATTACTAAGATATAMGGTTAATATACAATGATCAGTGAGGAAAGATGAACTTATCCCATTATAAACTTTTATTGCTTAACAACAWTCTTTCATCCTGTTTTAGGACCTAGTATCAAAACTGATTGTTCTAGATCCCAGCAAGCGTCTTTCGGCTAAGCAAGCTCTTCAACATCCTTGGGTTAAGGTACGTGCTTTWTAACAATATGAAATAGGCGCATAAAATGGTTATTTGTGATAGATACATGATGAGCAGACGAAATAAAAACGCAAAAGGAAACGCTCTGCAATCTCGGTTGTACTTCGAGTGTTGTTTTTGATAACTAGCTTTTGACCAGTTTCCATATATTCAACGTTTAGAAAAAGAAAGTCTGTAGCCACGTGTCAAGTGTGTAGCCACGGGTCCTACCTCAGGGCTTTTGCCTGGGGGCGCGCACCCTGTGGACTTAAAGCGGATTTAATTTCGTATGACTGTGCAACGGCACGGATCACAACACGGACATTCCAAATAAAAATGAAGATGATCACCGGTACGGCACGGTACGGTCACAGCGCGAAAGTACCGTGCTTTTTGCACAATCATACGAAATCCACTCTATTTACACGAAAATTTAATGTCTCCTTTGTGATCATTTTTGTTGAGTGTTAACACTGTTGGGTTCCTTGCAACCAACAAGGTGCCCCAACCGTAAAATACGTTTTTCCTTGTTTCCATGTCTTTTCGATTCCCATAGATTAACGACTATGATCAAACCGATGTATCTGTAAAATATAATCACTTACAATGTGTGTTGATATATTGCAGGGAGACAACGCCAAACGAGAAGACATGGAAAAAGCACGCGAAAAGTTAAAGGAATTCAATGCAAAGAGAAAACTAAAGGGAGGRATGATAGGTGTAATGGCTGTAGCCGGTAAAGGTCTTAAAAAGCAACCAACACAATAGTTTCTTATGGCAAAGTTAGCTTATTAAAGAGTCATTTTATGGAGATTGAATCCGGCAAAAAGGGCAGCGAATGACGTCACTTTGTAAGTTACTAGGAATGCYTGGGGCCTAGTGAAAGTGAAGTTGTAAAGTTCGTTGTTGACCGGTTCATAAAACTCTCGCAGCCATATGTCCTGTTGGGCTTCATTGATAAGAAAGAATAGGAAAGTGTTTTTTCTTGAATATCGTGGATAAAATTAKATTCAAAAACATTTCTTTTCTATTTAGTTCATTTATAGATGTATTGTATGAAGTCAGTGTAATGAAACTAGTAAAAATGGAATAGCGAAAGAGACTCAGTGTGTTAGATATTAATTTAGATCTTTCAAGTTAATTCAATATCACTTGTATAGTRATTATGAAAAATAGTAAAATAGCATCAATCTCCAGTAGTCACAGGAAGTCCGTGGAAGCGCTCTTAGGAGCGTCAAGTTGTTGTCGTCTTCATTGATCGTTCGATCGTTCTTGCCCATATCAGGGGCGGATCCAGGGGAGGGGAAAACGGGGAATATCCCCACCCCCTCCCAAATGAAAAAAAAAATTATGATAATAAAAAAAATCCCCTTTCCCCCCCAAAAATATAATTTTTCGTTTTCAATCCTGTTGATGTATCTAGTTGAAATATAGAAACTCAAAACAATATAATTAAAAATATAAACTTAATTAACGAAAACTAGAAATATAAGAATAATTACAATTTAGATTGAAGGCTTTCCAGCTAAAAAATTTTGATCAGTTGTATTACAAAGAACTAAATGCTTTGTTTTCAATTTAAATTGTGATTTCTTTGCCCCGGTTTCAATAGCCGCACTGTAAAAAAAATCTGAAGTATTTCATTATAGTATAAGTTTAAAGAGTGGCCAATGTGAAATTGATGTATCTTGACACGTTTTATTTCCTTTTCATTTCATTTAAGTAACACTCACGAAAATAGCAAACTTGTGCATGCTGGTGTTTAATATTATTTGGAAAATAAATTCCCCCCCTCTAGAAAATTCCTGGATCCGCCCCTGCATATATATAGAGCATATGCAACCGAAACGTCAGGTTGATCAAAAATTCTCGTATTCGCAAAGTAAATAAACAAAAACCTTAATAAAACGAGCAAAATGCGCAAGCCAGTGATATGCCTTTTAACATTTGAACCCAAGCGTTACTTACTATTATAATATTCGACACAAAAATAAACCTGATATTGTTTGACGCGTCATACCAAATAAACATGTGTTATGTGATGCATTATGGGACGGATCGACTCTCGCGTGATATCGGAAGACCGGAAGAATTTGTCAATCATAAATCATGCATAATGTGATGTCACTCAAACGACTCCAACTCAACAATATTGCCTTACACTAAAAACAACATAACGAGACACAGATAAACCAGCACATGTCTCATAAGAAAGCAAACAGGTGGTTAAGAATGCGTATATGTGTTAATTCAAATCTAAAATCATTAATTAAATATCCAAGAGCTGTATTACAGTTGTCCGGGACAGTTGTAAAAAAATTTGTTCTGACATTTCAAAAATACTTGATGTATACTTCAGTCCAAGTTGACAGATTTGCGTGAAAATTCCGTGATTCAAAAGGAAAAAGAAAAAGAACAAAAATTTGAATTCAAAAGGATATGTTTGGTCCGAACTCAATGGTTGAAGTTACGGAACTACGTTTAATTAAAATTGCGACAGTATCCACATGTAACAATATAAACAATCATGGTAAACTTTTAATTTGAAAAGCACRATTATGCTTACAATTTGCTTTAAAAATTTTTGCACTCAATCTAGATTGTGTATATTGTATTTTTTGATACATAGTGTATGTAGATGGCATAGAAAAATAATCCAAAAATTTAAAATAGGCCTTGACTTGATCTGTAACGCAACACAACGCCACACGTCACGGCATCAGGTAGACATACTCTTTTACAGATTCTGTTTTACTGGCAATGTTTAGCTTCTTATAAAATAYATCATTTTGTTCTGTAATATTAAAACATTGATATAGCTACTGGTATATGATTTGGTAAACATTCAAAACCTCATACACTTCAGAGGATCATGCGATGGCYACGCTTCAACGAACACTTTATGAGCCAGCGATTCATCTGAACGGAACTCTTACATTTATCTTCCGCGTTTTTTGGTTAGACGTTTCCATAGCAACAGCCATTTCATTGGCTTAAAGGTAGCACTTTTCACCTTAATTTTAGCTAGCCTATCAAATTGTTGCAAAATCTATAAATAATATGATACCCACAAGATGTGTGGTAGTACGATGTTGCACTCCACTTGAAAGGCACACGAGGACCTTGTAGCTATTCACAATGGCCAAAACTCAAGTTCTAGTGCCAACGTTTTATCGACAAATTTTAAGTGATATTGGCCTGTCAGTCAGCAACGTCAAGGAAGAAAATCGCCAGGAAGGTGAGCACCTGTGCATTTTGTTCATTATCAGTCCAATTTACACCGTTTAGCATTATAAAGTCACGTATACTGTCACGTAACACTTGAATGACGTCACAACACAAAACTAAAGGAAAAAATACATGTATCTGTGTGTGAGTGTGTGATCGTTCATTTTTCTTAGCACTTTTGGGGGCATCAATTGATCATTAACTAAATTTCCGACGATCTCTTTTTCCGCCGAAAACATCGCTGAGATTTCTCCGTACCACTTTCAGTTGGGGACCTTTGGGTTTCAAAAAGGTGGTTATAACTAATTGGAAAAACAGGCGTTGTCCCAAAAACATTTGTACTTTATTAGTACAAGGGAATACTATTAAATAAAGGTATGCAAAAAAGTGTTCTGGCTCAGTAATTTTATTTTGTCTTCTTAATATATTCTGTTTACACTTAAGTAGCGATACTTCTTGTTTATGAACAGCTCATTCTTATGCTAATGTACATGAATCGACAAAATTGCTTTGTTTGATACAGCCAATATAAAAATATTTCAAAAAAAGGTTGTCAGATCTGAACGGCGACCGAAAGTCATTGTGGATCATCACTTTTTCAGATTTTCTTTAAAAAAAGTGATCCCAAGTACCCAGAATCCCCTTCGGTCTAAGCTTTTGCGAAACTGACAACGTTGTGTTTTWTAATTGAATGTAAGATATGAATTATGGAGAGCCGTACAAATACCATTGACCACCGCTCGTCTTTACTTGAATGAGCCATTTTTTAGACGCTGCTATTTTAAGCGACAAAAAAAGTCTTGCTTCAGTAAGTGCCTTAGCGTACCCGGAAATCTTTGAATGATACAGTGTGCGTAATATGTCTACAAACCTCCGAATGCGTGATGTGTACATGTGGATGCGAGGATTTTTCTATCCAATCGTTTACAGCAGCAACATATATAGAGCAGTTAGTAACAATAAAAATGCGAGGACTTAAAAATTCCCGTTATTTTTTTGTAGATTATTTCCGGGTTCGTACCACGCCCCMTCTAACTTTCTAATCGGCTACTCTCTCACTTAAGTAGACATCTTAGACTATAGTTGTCAAAACAAGTTGTTGATAACAAAAYATATTTTCGATTCTCACTCTGCAGTCTCATGTGACGGCTACAAACATYCTAGTGACGTCAGAAGCATGCAGCCATTATTGACGTCCATTAGCGAGGACTTGGATGTTCTCAAATACTTGACGAGCGAGGCTTCAAAAGTCGACGTTTGTTTTCTGAACCTGAAACGAGTTTACGAGAAAAGACAGACACGAGTTCATCGTAAATCAAGACAGAAAATTCTCAAAGGYAAGGTTGAGATGGTAGCCACYTTTGATGCTCAGATTCAGGATATAGTTGTGGCTGTAGAGCGAACGTCCGAGTCGCGTCGTTTGTGTGGGGACAACTGCGGCCAAATTGCCTTGGATGTGACGATGGGAATATTGGAACGAGATAAGGTAGGATCGAATCGAAGTGATTTTAAACTAAGGGTGCTTTCCATTTAGGCAGACCTGGCCGGCCAGTCCACTCTATTTAGAGGTATATAATGCTTTTTGTCAACAYTTTTCAGTCATTTCGAGGTTTTCTGTAGAATAATGGATAGAATTTGAAAATTTGAATTTCCTAACTAAATGGGAATGATRTATAATGASATTTTCTCTGGGTCTGGCCAGCCASTTCTGACAAATGGAAAGCGCACTAGGAATATCACATGCATTTGCCTAATGCAATGCAATARAATAAATAATGAGAAGAGAATGAATAGGATGTCAGCACTTGTGACAATCAATGTGCTAATCAAGTGTGGTATCCATATCTATCATTATTTCTAAGGCTCGCTGTGTTAGCTACTGTCGCCACCAAGAAACTTGTGTTATACGATGCCAGGAAAAGAGAATCTTAAATGCTGCCCTGCATGCTAATGGGCATAATACACATTAGAGGGGAGGGCTRCAATATTTGCGGAGGCGCTCATTTGGGGAGGTGGGATTAGAAATTTTTGAGCTCAATGTTTTAAGGATGCGCAAATTTTTGGTGGGCAATAATGCCAGATGAGGCACAATATAGTTTTGGTCTTACTTTGCTTGGTAAAGTGCAATTGTCGAACGCCGTTAAACTCAGTGACAAAATTATACCAACGATTCATCAACTAATTATTGATCGAACACTCCCTAGTTTCATAAGTAAGCAATAACTTTAATGTCTTCAATTGTTTCAACAGCAACATTTCTCGGTGGACCTGGATTCGGTGTATCTAGCAAATGATGGTCTCACGCCCGTTTACAAACTATCGACAGTGGACTCGAATAGAAGGAATAAATTCCATTTAGCGGTGACTTTGGAATTTATCGACAGCACAAGGAGCGATACATTCTATAGTGAACCATTTCTACTAAGAAGTCAGAGAAAAGAACATAAACAGAATTAACTGGTTAAAGTGCTTGGTTCCTATAGATTACCAGCCTCTTCTCCAGAAGCGYCTCTCATTTTGCCTTGTCTTGGGCTTCTTGATTTCTGTTATTTTGGGCGATTCCTTRATTTCGAAGGGATTCCCAAAAAGACACGGAAAAATGAAAACTTGTTGCAGAGGAGGTTATAAATCATATACACTTCAGGGTTCAAAAAAGATGACATCAAATGAATCTCTTAAGCCTTAAGAGCGAAGATTTTTKAGKTAATTTGATATTAAATCACTTATGCCTAAACAATTTCTCGCGGAGGAGGTTTTAATTAATCAATTAGTGCAGTCAGTTTTCACTGTTTCCCTTTCGGTCTCAATTTCAATGATGTCACCTTTTAAAACCCAAAGACTCCTCCGCAGTCAACAAGATCCACTGAGTGTGTGAAGGGGGTGTGGGGGATGTGAGTCTCCAGCATGAGTATCCTAACTACGATGGTGGCTTGCAGTCTCCTAAAAAGATCCTGGATACTACACTCTATGCATATTAAAGATGTACGATATTTATACAACACAGTATTTAACAAAGTCTCATTCGCAGCCTAACCTTCTCTTCGGGACAAGCGTGAAGCCCGACAAGGGGTTAGCTGCAAAGAAGACTATATTTAACACAAATGATGCACTTAATTATATTGGTTGCTTCTGTAGGTACCGGAGTACAGATGACGCAATTCAATAGAAACAGAAGCTTAAAGCAAAGAAGCAGATTCTAAACAATACCCCGAAATACAATGAAACCTAACCAGAATACAATAGATTCCGGTACACACAGAAAGGCCCCTTATATTTTTCTATTTTCCATTTAATAGCAAGTTTTTCGGCACTTTCATATTACATCAACCTACTTTCCTTGGCTGGGAAGATTTCACAGGGCGTATTCATTCTAGTAACAAGGCATGATCACCCGCACTGTCACCCTGGTCCCCATGAGGCGCTTCCTCAAACGAAGGTTTGGGATAAGAGCCTGGGGAGGAGGCTAAACCTTGGCTAAACCATGATAGTAAATGTAGTGATCCCACGCATTATATATCGTATTTTATATAATCAATTTTAGTGCACACGGATTTTTTACTGTCTCCACTCGGAAATTAAGAGAAAAAATATTGCTGCATTTTATACTCATTAAAAGCTTCGGGAATGCTATATAAACATTAAAAACATCTTTGCAAATAAAATAAAAATATTTTCTCCAATAAAAATAAATTTACCTATATATCTGATATATATACGCACGGGAGTTAAGCCTCGTCTACACGAGCAATTTTTATGTGACAACTTTTAATTGCCCGTGTAGATGAGCAAAATTRRCCAATTTTTATGTGAMAACTGTAGTTGCTGGAAAGCTGGCATGCTASTTTTTATGTGACAACTAAAAATTGTCACATATCGAAAATTTCCCGTATGGACGAGCGTCACATAAAATGTGGCAATTATTTTGACGTTACACTAAATCCCAGTCTCAACATTTTGCACACCAACCAAGATGGCCACGCCGATAGTACGCAGAACGACCGGATCGACAGAGAGAATGGTATTATTGTTGTTGTAAGAGCTAAAATCAACCAACTTTGCTTTGTTTATTGGCATCTCCGCTGTGCAAAATCACACTTGGCGCAAATCTTCAACAATTATTTACTGCCTGTCCACACGGACAAATAAAAATTGCCACATACAGTTGTCACATAAAAATTGCTCGTGTAGACGGGGCTTTATGCAAACGTTTTGTGTGACGTCATATCCCGGGGAATCTGTTTTATTGGAAGTCACGTGATCTAGAATGCAAGATGGCGGACGAGGAAGAGGAGTTTCGCCAAGGGAATGATCAAATACTAAACCAACCGCGAATTATCGAGCTTACTAAAGGAAGTAATGGCTTTGGGTTTAATGTAAGAGGTCAAGTTTCCGAAGGAGGACAACTAAAGTCGATCAATGGAGAATTATATGCTCCGCTGCAACATGTCAGTGCTGTTGTCGAAGGAGGYCCAGCTCATGTCGGAGGTGTTCGAGTCTTCGATAGAATCCTTGAAGTGTAAGTGTGAGTAATCTACTTATCGCGTTGTTTAATTTTGCGGTTGGTACATTTAATGATAATYACTACGGCAAAAAATGATTATAATAAAAAGAAGCGTTTTCTTACTGCAACTGCGATCTTTTTTTTTAATTGCACACTGTGATCGAGCCTAAGTTAAAAGCTATTAATGTAAGCTTAACTTAATCACGACTTTTTTGACTTTATAACTTGACTAAAAGAAAGCGAAATTGCCGTGTTTTGAAACGAATTTTATAAATGGCTAGTAATGACATTGCAAAATGTCTACTACTAAGTACTGCGAATTATATATTCGTCAAAAACAAGTCAAACTACTGATAAAATGAGACAGCATTTCATTTAGTTAGGTTAAATAAAGTTCGTCCTTTGCAGTGTCTTWAATTCTTGTGTGTCGTTTCGAAATGCTCGATCCTTAGTTTTAATATGATTTTAATTACATCCAAATCATAAGTCTTATGAATATATTTAACCACAGCTGCATACATGTAGATGTGCAATGTGTTAWGCTTATCTCTGTGATCCTGTAAATGCTTATCCAAAGACGTTTGGTGCCAAGTGYGATGTTCATAGCTGAAAAATTAAATGATTTGTTTAAACAAAAAAATTATTTAGGTACATACAGCCAACTCACTATCATAGACAACCTCGGGACCATAATTTAATGTCCACAGTAGCAAGAGTCTAGGGTGTGGAAGAAAAAAAAACAACACTTTTGGGGTTGTAAAGTGCTTCATTTGATTGTATAACAACTATTATTATTGTTAATCACTTAAAAGTTGTGTGTAAACATCCACAAAAGTAGCTTTTTTAGCAAAGACTAAAGGTCAACAATATACAAATAGTAATRATAATTAAATAATATTTTCAAAACATTGGATATATGGCAAAAACTGTGCCCTTGGTATAGCAAGGTGATATATTTTCAATCATGTGAGAATGAAGAGTAAAACAAAATACTACTAAAGTGCATCATTTTGTGCACGTGTAAGAGAGTACAAACACTAAAATTGTGCAACATAAATACCACTAAATACTGCTAMATTATGCTAATTCTATTGTTTTCTGTTGTTTAATTAACACTATTTTGTAGTAAATAGTGGAAAGTGTTACACACATTTAATGTTTGTACTCGACCTAAGACTATGACTTCTTTAGTACTATAAAAGGATGATATTTTCTTTTCCATTCTCATCTTCTTCAGTCAGAGCACTCMTACTTTTGATACTGATGTTGACTGTATGTTGCTGTTAGAAGCTACTGATTACAAGGATTATTAATATTGTTGATCAATACAGAGAAACAACTATTTTAGCTAATTAGATCATTATCATTATAGAAATGGAGAAAACGTAGAAGGGGCTACACACAAGTGTGTAGTAGATCTTATCAAGAAAGGAGGATCTCATTTGAAGCTTATGGTCATATCTGTCAGTCAGACTGAGTCAGAAAAGCTTGATAGTGACAGCTCTTCAGGAACAGAATATTATGACTACTCGGACAGACAGACAGCTCCAGTAACCATACCAGAAACAAGACAAATCAACAGTGGAGGMGAGAATTACGTGGTAAGAARTTGAATATAACTYAAGAAAYTGAGTACATACTTATAGGGGCTAGGGTAGTGTGGATTTTGTATCACACAATTATTGATGACTATTTGACAGTACAAAATCTTGTAACTCTCTATTTTAGTCAGATGGTTGTCTTACATCTTGAACATGAAGGACCATTTGAATAGTGATATCTGCTATATGAATCTTTATCCAGGTGATAAAATCCCTTACAAAATGTAAGGAGTGGATAACTTTAAAGGAAGCTAAACTGTAGATTATGTCTCCTAACACTTCTTTCACTATCCTATATTTGGGGACATACCAAACTCCAAATGTAATGACCCTCACTGATTGCCTCACTCCACTACTAACATARCTGATTCAGAAGAGCCTGTAATAGACCTTTTCTGAAATGCAAAATMRTGATGCATTGTGGTCTAGCTTCAGTACAAACAATGCCATATTTGGAAGTGTGAACAGAAGATGTTTGTACCAAATSTAGACCACAATGCAATGCAAACTGCCATCTCTGAAAAGGCTTATGAGAGTCTCACTCTTTGTGTCCAACGTCAGTCCATTAGCAAAGAGCTATAATAGTATTATTGGAWATTAATGATATTTCCTTTTTCAGTGTACAATTTATAGTTTTGTCAAAGGATATAATTGTAACATTGTTCTATTCTAGGTTTACAATATTTATTATTCCAATAAACATATCTGTTCCAAACGATACAAAGAATTTTCATCCCTCCACAATCAGGTAAGTGAGAATTATTGGTGTGAAATGGGGTGTCATTAATTTTTCTCTTATTTTTGTTGATTATTCATATTTTGTATTAATTGCAATGAACTGTATTATTATTTTTTCATTAAACTATCTAATTTTACCCCCAGCTTTTTACATTTAAGTTTGTATCAATTATAAATCTTTTTTGTTGTTTATCTTTTCAGTTAAAGAAAGAATTCAGAGATTATCAGTTCCCTAAATTTCCCGGTAAATGGCCTTTTCATTTATCGGAAAGTCAGCTTGAAGCTAGGCGTAAAGGTCTTGAAAGTTACTTGCAGCAAGGTTTGTTTACTTTATAAAACTATATTAATTTTCAATTACTGTCATATGTCATTGATATTTTTCATTCCAGGCTTAGGTCCATTTTTCCATCCATCATAAGACCTTTCACCCATTAGAAAAAATTTCTACTATTGTCAAGAATCTGTTTGTTGAGTTTTATTTAATTCATTTTCCATTCTTTCTTATTTAGGGAAACTCTTTTGTACTTTTGCACATGTGAAAAAAAAATCAATTATCATGTGGGACAATTCCCAGTAAATAATCTAAATGCGTTTTATTTTGCTCCAGTGTGCGCTGTAAGAGTTCTTGGAGAATCAGAATATATTCGTGAATTTTTGGATGACCGGGAAATAAAGGTAATTATGTCTATCAGTTATCAAATATATAATTGAGAAAAATTGACTAAAAAGCCTATTKAAAGCTTTGTTTTATATTCAGAGTGAGCTGAGTATCAGGGGGGCAGAGGGGGAGGGGGAATCAGGAGGGAAATGATAATGTATGGCGTGTAAGTTCTGTTGTAAGTTGTACAGTTGTGTAGTTGTGAAGTAAGCTGAGTATCAGGCTCTCTGGGTTAAAAAATGGAATAGAGAGAAATGGGGAGAGCCCTTCATTTTTCCACTCTCCCTCTCCCCAGGCCACCTCRAAGGCCTGATACTCAGGTTAGTTGTGAAGTAATACTGTGGTTTTGTAATCATAATCAAGGAACAAGAAGATAGCGAAATGGAAGTTGAACTCAGAATACTGATGCCTGATAATACAACTGTATCAGTTGGAATAGAAAAGAAAAATAAAACAAGACAAGTATATAAGGTATTTTAATATCATTTTAATGGTATCTGACTTCCTGAGATGCTTTCATGCCTTGCACATGTATATATATTCCCTCTAACACCTGTATAAATGTGAATAAGAATGATAAGAATGGCTTAAAATGTAATAGATAGCTAATTTGGTCCATGTGGAATCCTGTCATTTAAGACAAGGATAAATAAGACAATAAAATGCCATTGTCTTCTTGAATGAGTAAGWAAGTAGTATATAAAATATGAGCAGGAGACCTTTATRCTGCAAGCGAGCAGTTTAAAGAAATCATAACCAACGGCCGTACCTTGCGCGCTCGTATTATTGTTTACATACGTTTAAATGAGTCAAGGATACAATAAATTATAGATTGATAGTACCTGTGAGGTACTTAGTTAAATGTATYTCTGTCCAAACTGAAAGGACGGAAGACGATTCGCRCTCAATTTAAGAAATCCTACGAATCCGCCATTTTTGTGTCCCCCTAAAATGGCTCCCAAGGTACGGCAGTTGGTTATGATTTCTTTAAAGCCCATAAAGGTTGGACGCAAATTTTTTATATTGCTTGTCAAATTCCATCATAAGCTAAAACATTTTTGTGATTATTTTGTTTTTATTTTGGTTAAATAGGCACTGTTGAAAAAAATAGGTTTACAAGAGGAAAATGCCATCAACTTTGCTTTGTTTGAAATCATGGAAAGTGGATTTGGTAAGAAACAAATCAATACTTGKTTTCTAACTTCCTCTAGAAATGTCAAATCTTTTTTGCAGGGGGTTGATCAGGTTATCAAGATGTTGATCAAATATAATATCCAATAATAGTAAAAAAACAGATTGAAAACAAAAATACAGCCAACACCTCCTCACTATYCCTCCCCCTCAAAAAAAGTACTTCTCCCCAAAGTGAGAACTGCAAACAAATCCTCTCCTTTCCCCCAATCCCCCCTGGATCTGTTGGCAGGGTAACACATATAGCACATACAGCACATTTTTATGGAGGAGAATAAGGAGGAGRATCATTTTGCCCCTATACCCCCTCACTATAATATTTCCATAACAATATGTGTGAATGTCAGTCAATCTTGTTGTTTTTCAAAAGGTGTTTTTGGTCTTGCTTGATCTTGTTTGAGTTTGAGTACAGGACTCCTGGTTGAAAAAATTGGAAATTTGTTTATTTCAGAGCGTAAACTGCGCATGAATGAGTTTCCCCATAATCTATACATAAGAAGATACACAGAATCATCCAACACYTGCCTAACGATAAGAAAATGGATCTTTACTTTATCAAGGGTATGTGTATCCTCCTTTTTTGCCCCCCCTCCCCCCTTCTCAGGAGTCACTACACTATGTGCAGCCAGGAAAAAGGCCTATAGTTAAATAGCGTAGTTTTTGCTATTTGTCCCATTTGTCTGAATTCATTTCCCATTTTTTTCATTATTTTATTGTAGTAAATCCTTGTTGCTTTATGTACTTTGTTCTGATTTAAAATTTTAAGATGAAATCAATGAAGACATGTGATGCCTCATATCTTCATTTCAAAATATTTATATTTACTAAGAAAGGCATTGTATTATTACTGAAATTGTTAATAAATATTATTATTATAGTGCCTTTCTTAAATCCCTGGCCAGGTTCTTAGACAATCGATTGGGTTTACCCTAGACTAATGCTAATTGGGCTTTAAACAACCCAACCCATGCGACCATCCTGGCCTAGTATGCTATGCATCCTTACCTCAAGATTGATTGCAGCTTTGACTTGATTTATACAGGAAGTAGCAATGAGTAATGATGAGGTTGCTGTTAATATACTGTATCACCAGGTAAATGATTTATGCATAGTTTGCGGGTCTTAACTGCTATTCAAACCTATATTTCTTTGTTCATGGGCTCCCTGTGCTTTTGAGTTTGCAAGGGCCCATGGGATACGTTGAGGCCAAGGCTTTTATTGTTTATTTTGTGGGGAATTATTGAAAAATGCCTAAAAAAGTGAAATGYTGTATTCCTGGATGTGGAAATAACTACAAAAACAAAGGGACTTTGCGCTTTTTTCGCATTCCCAAAGACCCCGAGATTCGAAACTGCTATCGATTGATCCTCAGAGACAAACGTGTTCGACTCGAGTCGGATGGAACAAGAATCTGTTCTGCGCATTTTGAGAACGGAATGAAGTTAAGTCGGACACACTTGCCAAGTATTTTTCCTTGGACTATCGAGGAAGACCAGAAGACTGGAGAAAAACGAAAAAACCTGGAAAATATTGCGAGTGTTTTGAAAACGCTGAAGAAAACGAAGACTWCTTCAATCCAAGATGGCGTTGATGGCGTGACGTACGCTTACCCATACCACGTTCCTTGGCGATTTAACCAGGTYCCGTTGAATAATGGGAGYGTTTCAGGCTTTAAAACAAACGATGAATTATTGCAATGTGTAGTTACGCCGTTAGTTCACGAAAATACAATTGCAACGACTATGTGTTCGACTTCTGTTGGGTGCTCTTCGCTAGAGACAGCCGTTCAGGACTATTCCAACAGCATTCAAATATACCCAACACAAGCTGGACCTCAAGATGTAAGAGTGGATTTTAAGCCAGAACTAACTATTGACGTTGAAGCACAACTTCAACAAAGTAATACTTCTCTTGCTAGCTTGGATGGAGAAGAATTCCCAATCCAATCGGTCGATAGGAGATCGATCGACGAGGTTCTCGTCACCCCAGAAGCACCCAAAGARGATCGTCCAAGGGTTATCATCTACAAGGAGTGTGCATGTCAGACTGAAGTTTCCGAGGAAGATTTCCAGCAAATGGCTCAAAAGCTCAATGCAGTGAGATATGAGAACAGAAAGCTAAGAATTGAACTTGAATCACTGAAAAGAAGTTTTTGCAATATTTAGATAAGTAGTGCAAATGCAATAGATGATGGATTTTCATCAATTTTCTTGCTTCTTAAAGTGAGAAAAATGAGAAATCTCGAGTTTATATCCACTATAATGCAGTAAGTTTGGACAGTGGAAATGTTTGCCTTTTTGGTTACTTTTTGGATGGTCTTTGATGTGCAGGATGAAGCATCAAAATTTATTATATTACATGGAGTTTGAAGGGATTTTGCCACCCAGAAATTGTTTGATTAACAATTACTAGTTACTCGTACATTTTAGGTTGATCAAACATCAGGTCATCAGGTGATCAAACATTTTTGGTTTGACGAAGTCTTTTTTGAAGAAAATTAAGTTKTTACTCCGACTGTATGCTGTAAAAATAGTGAAATTACCTGTTATTCCCAGTGGCTTTGAGTGATAATTAATGTTACTCAGTTGACTGATATATAATTATAATTGTTACGATTATGATGATAATTACATTTAGCAGAAATAATAATGAAAATAACAATATAGAATTTTTTGACAAAAGCTTAATAATTATATATGACTAGTAAATAAAATTTAATAATATAATGATCACAAGATTATTTAGTATTTAAAGATGTTATTGTTAATTTGAATTCAGATATGTGGATCTACTGCCATGTATGAAATGACTGATATTATTATATTAATATTTTCTCTAAAATAGACAGAGACTACAGAAAAATGTACAATTCTTTTCATAGATTTCAATATTTATGCAATAAAGAATAGTTTAAATCCAAGATACCTTTGTTTGGGTTTGTGGTATAATGACATCAACATTTTTAAATGTTAAAATGTTTTAATTAAAACTAAAAAAGGCCAAGGCTTTGATTTTACCCGCATTAATTGTAATACAACACTGAATTGACCTGGTGCTGGACACTGTCCAAAAGCTTGGCATAGCAGAATTATTTATCTAAAGAATGGTTTACAAGAGTTTACTTTCTCATTGAAGTAACAGACAGTTATATTTTGGTGAACAAATTGAAATACAACAACAATACCAACATAGGGAGAGGACACAGGGGGAGGGACTACTTTCCCTCAACCTCCGTACCCCCAAAAAAAGAATTTGGAAAATATAATGCAAATTGCAATATATGATTTTTCAAGCTTTTTACTTTGTGTCCCGCATAGCCCTGGACAACAGTGCAATGAACTTATTGTCATTTTGTAGGCCATTGAAGATTTGAGAACAAGAAAATTACAGGCTGGAAACATGCTATTGAAGTTAAAAGAATTAAAAGATGCATCTAAAAAACAGGAGGTATTAATTGTGAGCAAATGCAAAAAAGTCATTATAGTCTACAGTTTTTTCAAAGTAAGTTGTGGGGTTTTTCGAGACACTGGGATCTGTAAGTGGTCCCACAAACATCATTTTCCAAAGGCTTTCGTAAGAGTGTTTGTCATGTACTGGTCTTATAAAGAACAAAAAATGTCAAAGAAATGAAATCAAGTAAAATGTGGAAGTGGAATAAGACGTTTACATAAACAAATCAATTAGCATTCATTCTAGCATAGGCAGGCTAAAGACAAAATAATGTTTTTAAATTTTTCAATCATTCATCCATCTGTCAATTTGCTTGTTTGTTTATTCCTGTATCTGTCAGTATATGCCTGTTCATTGATTCATATCCTTATTTTAAGTACCTGGATGCTGCTCGTTCATTACAAGGATATGGYACAGTAACATTTCCTCACTGTCCATGTGATGCCAGGAAGTCAGGACACGTCATTGTCTCTGTTTCTCTAAGAAACTTTCAAATGAAGGCATGTTCAGACCAGGGTGATATCCAGGTAGGTCTGTCCTCCACAAAAAGAGCTGCTGTAAAATAACATTTCAGGGGCATGTGTAGGAGTTTTAGGAGCTGTGAGGAGGGGAGAGGAGGGGCGGGGGGTTAAGCTTTGTTTTGCAGCTACAAGACTATGAAGAAGGTGCTTGACTGCACTATTGTTGTGGATCCACATCTAACAAACTGTTGGTCTATCCAAAAATGTGTTATCCAAGAATTCATTTATTCAAGTCTCAGATTTCAAAGAAAGTCTCCTAAGGAAGGGGGATTCTGTGACCCCTGGAACCACCCTCTGCACCCCTWTATTTACATTTAGCATGATGAATATAACATGTTCAATAGGATCAAGAACACTTACTGGACTGGGATGAAATATCMCATCTGGAAGCAGACACAGAAGCAATGGCCTTATGTTTTCAATATACCAAAGGAGGCAAAACAAGATGGGTTAGAATTTACTCAGAACATGTAAGTACTATTTCATAAATGATATCTGATGAGTTGCAGGGATCAAAAAAATGAAGAATGAACATACTCTGCACTAGTAGAGTGGGAACAGTGTCGTCAACTCTATGTTAAGTAGGTTATGTAATTGATCTTTTATTTTTGCAGTATGAATTTATGTCAGAATGTGTGCACAGAGTGCTGCAAGAAATTGACTGGAATAAAAATGTAAGTCAAACCAACCTCAAAATATTATCAGAAAATAAATGTAACACTTGAGTATTGTAACACTTGAGTATTGAAATTGATAAACATGTTTTATATCATCTTAATACCAGGATGGACAGAATCCTGTTTTACCACCAAAATCAGAAGAAAAGGACGCAGAAAATGTCCAAGAAGAATCAAATTCTTATTTGAAGGTAATTTATGGTACATGTACTTTTAATCAGGAGACTGTTGTCATTGGCTTTGACCATTTAATGTCTGTAAATTCAGTTCTGTATTGTGTAGATGTACATTGAGATGGAAACATGAAAAAGGGCATGCAATCTTTAGCATAGTCTCCTAGCAGCCGTTCTTAATGACGGGCTACTAAGAACGGCTGCAAGGAGACTATCTTTAGAAAAAAACATGATTTAAGCTTGGCGTGCTCTGATTTACTTAGCTTGTGGGAGACTGCCATGCTGGTGCCTTAATTAATAAGGAACGTGACATAAAAGACCACAAGTGCTGATTTTTAATTCCTTGTCTTACAGTCTCACAATACCTATACAAGTTCTGTMCAACCGAAACCCAAATCAGTAAAACCAACAAAGAGTTTACCACCAAAACATTCTGGTGTGGTATTTAGTGGAGCTATTGAAGATGATGACCTTTAAAATGTTTAAAGAATTATTATCTCGAGAGACAATAGGGTTACAGTCAATGGTATTYAGTATTTGTTTTCCCATTGTTTCTATGTAAGAGTTTCACTTGGAAACAGTCGACCAAATATATTGTACTTAGATAAATGATGATAGCAGTATAATACGAACTTTATAAGAGTAGCGGCAAAGCAGCAAGGTGGCAAGTACTGTGCCCAATGACCGTATAATAATTTTTAGTATAAACATATTAATGGTCTA